CAACAATCTTCAAAGAGAACAAAGATTAGAGTATGTGGCAAACATAATTCGCCACATCTTAGATTTCTTCAACATATGATGATTGTTCTTTGTAGAACTCATCTCTAGAAGAAAAAATAATGTCATGAATATATATATATATATATATATATATATATATTAATATTTATCTATATGATTAAATAAAAATTAATAAAAATAAATTTATTTCATAATATTTTTTAAACAAGCTTTCTTAAAAGCTTCAAAGATATTGCTTTGACCTTACATGTATTTGTAATTGATTACAAGATTAGAAACTTGATCAATAAGTTTATCACGTCTTGATAGCTTACAAAGTAAGCTAATTATGTGGCACACATATTAAAAACTTGCTTTGCAAATTAAGATACATGTCTTATAAAGTCAACATATTTTGGAGGTCCTATAAGACACCACCACATAGTTAAGAGTTAATATGGAGGAAAGAATGAAGCCTTCTTCACTCTTGTCAATGCCTTTTTGGTCCTAAGTCTTATTTCAAAACTTTTTAGTCTTCTTGTATTTAGTAATAGCCATTCTAGTTTAATACTATATCATCTTTAAGTGATTTTTTAGTTTTTTTGAGTAATGCAAGAGTATATTGAGAATTTCTTTCTTTAAGATTCATGTCCTTGATTAAGTGTCTAGTACATTCTCAAGTAGTTTTAATATAATATGACATCATTTAGATAACAAACAATAAAATCATCCAAAAAATCTTTAAAGATATCATTTATTAAATATTAAAAAGATGGTGGTACATTTATAAGTTTAAAAGGCATGACATTGTATTTAAAATTTCCATACTTGATTTAAAATGCAAACTTTTATTCATCTCTTTTTTTAATGCATATTAGATTGTGTGCTTCTCATAGATCTATTTTTATAGAGATCTTAACTTGTTTCAATTGATCAAGAAGTTTAGATATTAAAGGTAGAGGATACCTATTCTTGATGGTAATCTTATTGAATCCTTGACAATCAACATACATCCTTAATAATCCATCTTTTCTTTTCTTTTATTTTACTAATAAGATTGAAATTCATATTGGAGATTTGAAATTGCATATAAAATTCTTGACTAGATTTTCTTCAATATACTTATTAAGTTCAATGAACTTATTTTGTAATAAATTGTAGATTGGTCCAAATAGCAATTGAGCTCTTGCTTCGAGGTCAATTGAGCAACTATAGGAATGATGTTTTGCAAGGGGTTTTACATTCTTTTTCTTAAAAACATCTTGATATTGGCTTGAAATGCTACTTAAAGTTTTTTTACTATTAGAAATAAGTATACTATAAATAACATAAGATGATTATTTTTTTATAATATATAAAAAAAATCTTATACCTAAAATTATGAATTTGGTTATACTAAATTTATGAATTTTTACTTGATTAATAACATTCTTAGTTATACTTTCAAAAAAATTAAGACTACAAGAAATCTAATCTATTTAAAGATTATATTTTTTTTAGTTGTAATAAATCTAAAATGACTAGATTAGAAAAATATCTAATGATATTAAATATTATAAAGCTACTTTGACCATTAATTACTACTTTTATAGAAAAGATTTCATGAGTAATATTTTTAGAAGACAATAAATGCCTATCTATGATTTCTACTTGAAGAAGTTTAGTTTTTTTATTAATAGTATACTATGTCTTTTAATAAATTCTTCATCTAAGCAATAAGTTGAGGCTCTTGAATCTAGCAAGGCAAAGGCTTTGTGATATTTAGATTCTAAATTAACATCTTTTTTTAAAAAAAAGAAGAAATTTTAAAGAGAGAATAAGACCTTCACTTGATACTATATAAGGTTCTAATTGCATGGTCTCCTTTGTAGCTGAATAAACTCATTTTTGAATAAATTTTCTTCTTTAACAACCATACTCTTTATTTTGTGGTTGTATTATTTTTTTAGATAATATTGAGCAGTTTATTTAGGTTTTCCATTATATAGATATAATCCTTCCTAACAATGATAAGTCTTTTCTTGCTTAGTAAGAAGTTTGAAACATATTGTATTAATTTGCATATCCTCTATTTTCAAATATATGTATTCAAAATACATTAGGATTGCTATTAAATTAAAATAACATTAAGGTCTATTTGTGAAACTCTTCGATCAAAATTTAAAAAATTGGTTGTTACTCTTTACAACAAAGTCAATTACTTGATTTAATATTTGAAGGTTAGGTAAATTAAGAATCAATTTCTTTACCTCATATTATAATCCACTAAAAAATTAGCTAATAAATACAACATTAACTCACTTGATATTAATTATAAGTTATCAAAACTATTAAATATACAACATTACAGATCAATTGCCTTATCACAAAATATAGATTTTCTTTGTAATAAAATAAATTGCATCATGTTCTCCATATATGAATCAAAATTATATTAAAAAAAGTTCTAAAATATTTAATATTAAATCTTAGCATTCAAGAAGAGACAAAAATCATAATAATATACAACTTAAAAGAAGTGTATTAATAAACTTGATTTTTTATTCTAAAGTTGAATAGCTTTAGAGTTGAAGTTCAATTGCTAGTTGTATTTGATTAATGAATCTTCAAAATTTTGATCTTGTGCCATTAAACTCCTTGGGCAAGGAAAATCTTAGTTTTTTAATATTTGAATAGTGTTCCATCATAAAAAAATAACATGATTTGGTATAAATATTGAAGTTGCTTCAATCATCTCTTTATCTTCACTATATGCTAATCTTGTTACTTCTTATGGTAGTAAATTAAATTGATGTAAAGCAAGTATTAACTCTATTAATTGCTCTTGCATTTGTACTATTGTATTCTTCATTATAAAAAGTTCCATCATGATTATACAATAAAAAATATGTCTAATATCTCTTAAGATAAGTAGAAGAAAGGATTAGAAAACAAAAAAAATCTAAGAATAAAATTAGTTTATAAGTGGGTAATCCACAACTTCTATTATACTTATGTCTTATTAAGAAAAGAAAATAATCTACTCTTAATCTTAAAGAGACAAAGTTTTGATATTGTAAGTGTACTCTTGTCAATCTATCAAGGATAAGAAATCAATGAAGACAAATAAATAAGTAAGACTTTTTTTCATAAAAATGACAAAAAAATAGAAATAAGAAAATATATATATTAAAAATAAAACTATAATGGCTATTGCCAAAAGACAAGAAAATGAGAGACCTTTGAAACTAGACTAACAACAATAAAAGAATTGATAAGAATAAAGAAGGCTTTATTCTTGCTTTTATATATATTATCTATTTAAGAGCTACATGGCAATGTTCTATAGTACCTCCAATACATGTCCAATTTGTGAAACACATGTCTTAAATTGCAATATAAGTTTCTTATATGTACACTACATCATTAACTTATATTATAATCTACTAATATGAGCAATACTTGGCTAACTTGTTGGTCAAGTTTTTAACCTATCAATCACCCATAGGCATATATAAAGATGAAATCACATCTATGAAGCTTTTAGAAAGCTACTCTAAAAGATATTATGAAATTAATATATTTTTACCTACTTCTATCTATTCATATTACCTAGATAATTATTACAATATATATATATATATATATATATATATATATATATATATATATATATCTTTTTCAATAGGTAATAATAGCTTTAATTTGGTACTTATATTTAAAAATTTAAAAGTAAAATATTTAAATTATAAGTTTTTATTCTTGTACTAGCTAAGCTATTCATTAAAATAAAAATATCATATATATTTTTTTCAATTCTTTTAAAAGATTTTAAAAATTTAGTTTGATAAAACTTTCTTGAGAAGATAATAAAAGAAATTTAATTAAGAAGTTATATATGTTATTAAATATATGTAGGCTATATCTCAATTATTTTTCATATATTTTAAGTTAGTAATTTAAAATAATTACTAAGATTTTTTATAGTAATTATAATATCATTAAGTTAATAATGTTTATTATTTTTTATTAAATAATATTCTATCTCTTAAATATACTTATTCTATTACCTTACATATACTTTATTAATTTAAAATTTAGAAATAATATATTATTTAATTTTAATATTAGAGATTTTATTATAAGTTATTTATAATTTTAAATTTATTTATATATAATATTTTTTTGATCATAAATAACAAATTTTTATTTTTATTTTTATTTTTATTTGCATGGTTTTTGTTAAGTTTTTAAATTAAAGATTCAAAAATATTCAATAATATCTCTTTAAAAATTGTATTTACTATAATTCTTTTGATGTTTTATTGAATGTTTTGCCAACATATTTGTAGAAAGAAGTCAAAGTCAAAATAGTTTATAGTTCTAGTTTAATTTAGTATTTTATTTATTTATTTATTTATATTCACTAATATTATTCTAAATTGTACGTATCAAAGATATAAATCTTTAAAAAAATTTAAAATATAATATACTTATATATCATTGAAAATAGAAAAAATTAATATAAAAGATATAATGGTATAAGATGAAAATGAACTTAAGTATTTATGGATGAAAATGAACTTAAATACTTATGCCCATACAAAAAGAAAGTAGGAGAACTAAGACTATAATATTAAAAAAAATAAGACTAATCTTAGTCTTGCCTCGTATATTAAATATCAAAAAGAGCTTGTCGAAGCTGCTTGAAGATAACAAGACTTATGGTCTATATATCCAAGTTGTAGCTTCCAGCTTCCTACTACTGTACATTTTTTAGAAAAAAAATAAAAATAAAAATGACAAGTTTTTAATAGCCTTGTGGTACATTTAGGAGAATTTATGTTTTAAAATTTGTATATATAATATTTTTAAATATTTCTTGAAGAAAATATTATCTACTTGACATACATTCATTTCTACTTACCTCTACTTGTTTAATTAATATTTACGTATTCTACAATGATATACATCCAAAAAATAATTTAATTTAAATTTATCATACATTTAAAATCATTATATGATGATCACCACACAAAATAAAATAAATTAGAATTAAATAAATAACATTTAATAATTGTTGCAACAAACCCTAAATCATCCTTATTTTTATAATATAATCCCACACCCTCCAAATCAAAATGTTCAGAGATGATAAATCTAGAGATGCTGTTATTACACTCGTGGATATTATTTTTAGGGTCTTCAAATCGAAGACCTGGTCTACTAGGTACAAAAGAAAGCAGGTAAGATTTTACATCCTCCCCAAAGAGGAATGAAAAGCATCCCCACCACCACTTTTTTACCTTTTGCCTTTACTTTGCCTTTTACGTTATGCAGCAGGAGAGGGGGGCAGGGCGTGGGACCTATATCCGCGAAGAAGGAGGAGGTGGGCGAAGGAGCGGCGAGGGAGGGGGTCCTAGCGCTGCGAAGCTGAGGGGACAGCGAGAGAGAGAAACAGAGTCAGACGCGTTGCGCGGCAGCGTCGGCGTTGGAATTAGCAGCATCAGCAGCCAAAGAAGGAAAAGAAGCCGAAGAAGAAGAAGAATCAGAAGAAAAAATCATTAGAAAAATCATAAGAAGACGAAGCAGAAGGAGAAGGATCGGAACCACCACGTCGAAGCAGCAGCAGCGTCATCGTCGTCGTCACTCGCAGATGCAGCAGGATCTCCATTCGCCCACCTCAGCCCCTCCAACGCAACACAGCGCAGCGCAACTTACTATCTCGCATCGCCACGCCATCCCGCCACGCCACGCCAGAAGAAGAAGCATCTGAAGCAAGGTGTTGAGCTCCTCTGTCTCGCCTGTGTTGCCTCGACCCACCCACTCACTTTCTTCACACTCTGCTCCAAGTTCGCCCATCCTCGTGCAATGTGCTGCGCAGCTTTTAGAGATTGGTGGGTCCGCCGTATACCATAATCGCGTTGGAAGTGGAATGAATTGGGAGATTCGGAGGTGCGCAGGGGACGAGCGTGAGGATTCCGTGACGGTGGCGGTGCATCGGGAAGGGGGATGGGCGGAGATTGAGAGGGGGCGCAGATCGAGAGGTTGGAAAGGGACAGAGAGGGAGAGACCGGAGCAGGCGCTGAATCGGGGAGGGAGAGGAGGAGGGGTGTCGATTAGAAGCAGACGATGCCCATCATAGACGGGGTGGGCGATGAGTTGGTGTACACTGCCCTGGTTGTGGCTCCCGTTGTCCTCTTGTGCCGTTCGCCTCTGGGGTAGGTGTTCTTTTCTATCATCGCTTGACTCCCTTGCACTTGTTTTGTGGGTCATCAGTAGTTCTGAGTGCTCGGATCAGAAGTATTTTTTTTTACCAAATAGGGTTTAATTTTAAATGATGCGGATGTGAGTCTGTTCTGGCTCACGATGTTGTACATAGTGATAAAGGGCAAGTTCTCTACGAAAGGTTATCCTGCGTGCGATGTATTTATGGTTCTTTAAAATGGTATGCGGATACGAATTTGTCTTGGGGACTGGGTATAGTTACACATCGCGAATGGTAACCCTAATTTTTTATGCTCGATGGAAATAGAGTGTTCATTCACAGGAAATGGTGACAGTTGTGGACCTATCTCTCTAGGGATTGTTTGTGCTTCTCAAAATGAGTCCACTACACTGCGAAATGAATTGCAATGCTCGTGACTAACCCTTCTCGAGTTGTGTTCTTTAATTGTCAGTGAATACCACCTTCAGATCCCAGACGGTTGAGACATTTCTTCGTTCTGTTGGAATGAACACCTGCAAACGTAAGGCAGAATTGTGAACTTAATTCTTTCTCATTGAACTATTTAACTTCTCTCTTCTTGTTGTTCATTTGGGATGCGTTACAGATTATTCGGTTCTTTCGATATTGAATTGTCCAAATACCGTTTCTGGATTCTCATTCTAGAATACTGTAGATTCGATCCAGATTATCATCGAAGTTTATTTTGTGAGTTTCGGAATTTCGCTTTAAATTTAACTCTTGGCGAATCTCGGAGCTGTGACAAACTGCTTCAGATTCAATGAAGGCAGTATCTTAATTTCATCTTTTACAACGCCATTTCTCATCTAGGTCATTGAAGGTTGGAGTCGAAAATGAGCTGTTCCGACCGTAGAATGGTCATCTCAATCTTTCAAGAAATTCCTTAGGTCAGCATATGGTCCATGCTGAATTTTATATCTTAAAACGTGCTGGAGTATACTTGAGCTGCTATCAATGGAAATTCAGGGTCCTTACGGCAGGAGGAGCTTTGAAATAGTAGGCTTGCAGTTTGAGACGGCGTCTCAAAGTCGTTAAGGCGTGCATATTTTTGAGACAACATCAAGACATGCAGCCAAGACGGCGTTACCTCGTCGCTGGTGACGTGAGATCGGATCAGAGACCACTCTTAAGGATCATGTTTCACTTGTGTCTGAAAGACACTCTAGCATCACGTACTTTCTCTTTGCTTTTGTGGATCTGATTTTCGGATGATTCTACAAAGAGAGATGTCAGAAGGACTTCTAACTTGTGCATGTTTGTGAGCCTTCATTCGTAGAGGTCTTAAAATTCCATGATACTCGTCACTTTTCATTTTTCGAAACTATTCCCTAGTCTAGGTTGATGACACGTTTTTTTAGGAGTGTATTAGCTGTTGATTGGGGTACAGAACGAATCCATGCTTACAAGCTGAATGCGAACCTCGTAATGCAGGCAGTCACTGAGCTTGTTGAGGCAGGGAGTGAGCGTAGTGTGGATTTGGTTTGGCAACCTTTGGGGCAGTGTGGCGACTACACGGCCTCGCGACATTGGTAACCTGGTTCCACCATTGGAGCGTACAACGAGTAGCAATAGCTTCGCGGCCCACATGGATTCGCCGCCAGACAACGACTGTTGTTCTGTGTGTCATGATTCCTTCACAATGCCATGTCAGGCCAATTGTGCTCATTGGTTTTGTGGTAAATTTCTGTTGCAGAAATCTCAAATTGATGCAGTGTCTTTTGGAGGCTTTTTGTCATAAGATTGATTTCGATGAGAGTTTTGACTCATGGGTGTATTCTTATGTCTGAAAGCAGTGTATTTCCTTGTATTATCTGTTCCTTTATGTATTCCACTGGGAGGTAAAGAAAGGAAGTGGTTTACGAAAACTATAGTTCTTAGTCTTCTACTAGTCGTTTATTCTGCTCTTCCAGTCATTTGTGATTTTTTGTGGTGTAGAACACAAGACTTTTCCTTTCCTTATGTTTTTGTTTGTTTTCTAAAATAATATCCCATGTATCCTTTGCACACTGCAATTCCTCGTTTTTACGTGACTGTTGCCAATATTTCAGGAGAATGTATATTGAGAGTATGGCAACACAGCTCCGTGCTGCAACCTTGCAAATGCCCCATTTGTAGACGAGCTATTACCCTACTTATCCCAACTAATGTCTCGGAAGCCCAACAACAAGATCCGGAAGTGGAGCGTGTAATCCGCGACCTCGCCAAATACAACCGCATTTTTGGGGGTGGTCCCGTCAGCTTTATGCAGGTATCCCTTCCACATCAGTATTGAATGTAGCTTGTGTTGGGTACTCTTCATGGAATTGGTTTACTTTTGAATGTGTCGAAGATCATTATGGTTCCCCGTCATGAATTGTTGTTGCTTTTTTCAACCTGAAACTTCTACATTTTTGCAGAGAGTTCGAGACATGCCTCTACTGCTGCAGCGCATGGTTGGGGAATTGATGGATCCACAACGTGCAATTCCTCTGGTTCATCGGACACGAATTCTTTTCTTTGTATGTTATGGCTTCATTTTCTGAACTTGTTATGTCTTATGTAGATTATCGATCTCCTGTTTGGATTGCTTCGATCGTTTAATTCTCTTTCTGACTCTGTTCCTAAGGTGCAGACATTATGCTTACACCCTTGTGTGTTTTGTGCAGTTGGTTTTGCTAGCTGTTTACGTGTTCTCTCCCCTTGATGTTATTCCTGAAGGTATGTTTTTTTCTGTTTGCAATGTTCATTGTTTGAAACAGTTTCGTTGTTTTTTTTGGAATGGGATGAACGTACTGTTGAATATAGATTTATTAAGCATTAAGTTTACACAAATTCAAGCATCGGATTGATTAGTTTTTCTGGCCCCAAAATATATATATATATATATATATATATATATATATATATATATCTATCTATATATATATAGCGAGAGAGAGAGAGAGAGAGAGAGAGAGAGATGGTCTTCCTGTAAACTAGTTTGGAGGAAGCAGACATTTGGGATGTTGACTTGGACGTTGGCTGGACAGGGGTGCTGGGATTGGTTGGATTATTGGACGACTTGTTGGTGATTGTCATGGTGCTGTTTTACTTGGCGATGCTCTACCGATCTACTCTCATTCTCCACCATGGTGGTCAGCCCCAATAACAAGTTCCATCTCCTCCACTGCAGTTCTGGTTGGTTTACACAATTCGACCAACAAGCAGTTTCCATGTACACTCAATAGTGTGGCTGAACTTGTTGCTGAAACTGTATATTTATATCATACCCTTGGAGATGTTGGGCACTAGGACCATGTAATTCACCCATTCCTTTTTCTTTTTTTAAATATAGTTAGCATGGAAGGTTAGTTTTTAGTGACTCTGGATGCTCCTGATGTGAGAAATAGGATGCACGCCATTTAGAAAATGGGATTAAGTTGTAGAATGATCAGTTGGCAGTGATTATGAGATGTTGGTGGTGTGAACGGTTAGTAGATGGCGTGGCTTGTGCTGTCTTTCGGAGTTGATGCATTGTTGTTGAATGCATTTGATTGAACTGGCGCTTGCTACGATCAACTATCTTTGTGTGAGAGCTCAATGAGAATGTGAGATCTTCCAGCTTTTTCAGCTACATGCTATCCCTGCATTGGCGGCACGTAGGTGGTGAATGTGTTACTCAGTACTCCGTAATAGTTGAGAATGTTCAAACATGGCAATGTGTCAGGTAATTGGTTGATATCAGTATGGCTGATTAGCATCAAGCTTTTGGTTGACAACGCTATTATGAGGTTCCAGAACATGGTTACCTGCAGATAAGTATATTTCAATTGTTTAAGTATTTCAATTTGTATTGGGATGTCATCACACCAAAAGTTCAGTTAGATTTTTATTTTTATTTTATTTTATTTTATTTTTTTTCCCCTCTCTAAGATATGAATTAGTGTAGTTCAACATTAAGTTACTAATTTTCTCAAACTTTTCATGGTTTGTGGTTTAACTGTCATGCGATTCAATATTTGTAGGCTAATTCTAGGATGAGAGAAACGGGTATTTTAAAGCCGAAAGATAGGTAACTTTTATCGTGTTAATCGAAAGTGTGACTAATCTAAACTGTTATCATTCAACATGTGCAAAGTATCCAGGCCGTTGTTTGATTTGGTATCAATTCAGTCAAATATATGGTAACAATTGGTGAAGACCTGTACATGTTACAGAATTTTAAAAATACATATATAAATACAAATATATTATCACATGTTTCTTGAGTTCTAAACGTTGCATAGTTGTGCTAGTGGTTGGAAAGCACTATTCCGAATAATTGAATAAATATTTTTTCCTATCTAATTATAAATATTGAATTTTAAACAATATATGTAAAAAGTTGGTAATGATTTAATGAACATGTAAAAATCAGTTTTTTAAAATCAGTATCTTATTTTATTATATGTTATTATTAGTCTTCTTTATTCTTTAATGAGATTTATAAAAATATTTCTTTTGGATTTATAAGATAAGGCATTTATTAATATAGAATAGTCAAAAGTACATAGAACTATTTTTATTAAGGGATCTTTATACTTAGTAGATAAGATGAAAGGTCACTTCTTTGAATCATTTTTATACTTAGAAAATTAATTCAAAGGTCCTACAAGTAAAATAATGAAATAGAAGCACTTTTTTTTTGGCATGCTATGAGCAATTTTATTTCTTACAATAATTACTTGGTCCATTTGAAGTGGTTTTGAGATAAAATTAATAAGTCATATCCAAAATGCTTAGAATAACCATTATAAAAAATAAAAAATAAAAAATTGAAGATTTTTTATATTTGCTGGAATCAAGATATGAGGTGACATATTTAGACTAAAAATAAAAGAATGATTTGGTAGATTTCAAAATCATTTTTGCAATTGTACACTCTCCAAAGCTCAAGTTTTCTAGAAGAGAGATTTTCTTCACTAAGCAAAAAATCCATAAAATGCATTAGAATCACGATTTTTCAAAGTAAGATCATAGGTATAAAAACCTATTGACTTTAAATTATTTGGTAAATTGGGTTTTTTTCCAAAGTTCTTAAAAGTATAACATAACTTGTAAGATCTTATAAGATTTACATTATTTTGGATAAATTTTTACACTTCTTTTTCTTAGAAAATTATAATTTTTGATTCTAGTCATTTTTAATAAGATAAATGTTTATTTTTAAAAATATATATATATATATATATATTTTATTTTATCACAATAAATTGAATTTACTTAATTTATCCATTTAAATATAAATATAAATATAGTTATTTTACTTCACTTTATACTTTTTTAACCTTTTTTGCACTTGAGTAAGTATAAAATAAAACTACACATAAAAATACCAAAAAATAAAAAACAGAAAATAAATCACAATATAAATATTTTGTAGGAGATATTTTTAATTTTTTTCTAGAAAAAGTTTTTCATTTTTTATTTCAAATTAGTTTAATAGTACTAGTGTGATATCACATGTTGAAATATTGAGGCTCCTACGTGTATTTATAACCAAACACCAACCAAAACAATAATGAGAATTTACCAAAAGCTGAAATTTCTTAAAATATGATTGTATACAGAGATTTACAACTTCAATTTTTTATTTAAAATTTAAAATAGCTTATCCAAAGAACATATCAAGTTATGAAAATAAATTAGGAACTTGAAATGTCATGCAAACTTTGAAACATAGTCAATTTTTAAAATTCCCTCTTTTATGACACTATTCAAATTAATTAGGATATTTTATTAATATACTGCAACTGAAATTTAGTATTTTTTTTTTTTTTTTTTTTTTTTTTGTAAATTTTTTAATCATTCAAATGAACTAAAATTATAAATGAACAAATCTATTAGGTTATCAAAGGAATATGTGACTAACAAAACAATCAAACTTAAATATAAAAAAGAGTTTTACAATTCAAAAGAACAAACAGTGTTGAAAATACTCAAACACAATTTTTCTATATATTTATTTAAGGATTTGATAAAAGCCACGCCATAATGTTGTTAAAGCTACATCCTCTCTTGCCATCTCATTATTGATTTTGTCCATTCCATGTCTCCATCCCTTGTCTCAAATCTCCACTTTTTATCCCTAGTTCTTTGTCTCTCACTCACCTTCCATCCCTTGTAAGAGGCTTTATATGAAACTCTCTTTATGAAGAGGTAGAAGTATTGCAAGTTTTTTCTTTTTCTTTTATCTTTCAATCTCCCTTAATATAATAATAAGATATTTTTATAATTACTATTATTGGACTTTAGCTACCGTGGATCAGCAATGGATTATAAAGGGGATGAAGAAGAAGGAAGGGGGGAGGGAAGTTGGAACAAGAGACAATGAATGAGGGATAGAGAATAAGAAATGGAAATAAGGAATATAGATTAAGAGATGGAGATAAGAAATGAAGATTGAGAATAAGAGATGGATATAAGGAATGAGGGATAGAGACTAAAAAATGGAAATAAGGAATGAGAGATAGAAGATAAGAAATGGAAATAAGGAATGAAGGATAGAGACCAAGAGATGGAAATAAGGAATGGAAGATAGAGCCTAAGAGATGGAAATAAGGAATGAAGAACCATGGACATGGAATGAGGGACAAGGGATATAGAATAAGGATGAGAGACAAGAGATTTAGAATGAAAAATGGGGCCAAGAAATTGCCAACAAGAGAAGAGATAAGAGTGGAAGGAATCAATGATGAGATAGTAAGAGGGGGGTGTGGCTTTATAAATTCCACATCCTTTGGGCATCAAATTAAAATATTTAATCAAAATTCCATATCAAAGATATGAATCTCAAAGAAAAAAAATCCCAATACACTCTTATGTCACTCAAAAAGATTAAGAAATTGCTCAAAGATGGTAATATATTGAACTTGAATGACTGTTATCAAAAGACAAGAAGACTAGAAAATCTTGAAACAAGACTAAAGATTAGAAAGACGTTGACAAGAATAAAGAAGGCTTCACTCTTGCTTTCATATATACTCTCTAACTAGGAGCTATGTGGCGATATGCTGTAGGACCTCCAACACATCTTGACTTTGTTAGACATATGTCTTAACTTATAAGGCAAGTTATCTATATGTAGACCACATAATTAGCTTGTTCCATAAGCTATTAAGACATGTGATATGTGGCTAATTTGTTGACTAGGTTTCTAACCTATCAATTAACTACAAATACATGTAAAGTCAAAGCAACATCTATGAAGCTTCTCTAGAAGATATTATGAAATTAATCTACTTTTACCTGCTTCTACTTAATCATATAGGTAATTATTAGAGTAAATATGTATGTCTATAACACTCAATTATTCATCTTATTCATTATGTAGACTTAATAATGGACTATTAATGCTATTTTTTATTTTTTTATTTTTTTTTAATATTACCTTTGCTTTTGTTATTCTAGTTTATTTATTTATTTATTTATTTATATATTTATTTATCTCTCTCACTCTATCTATCTATCTATATATATATATATATATATTTATTTCTTTGACTTGTTTACATTATAGAAGACATTCTTATTTTTATTGCAAATGAAGCAATAAATGTAAAATGCTGAAATTATTATATTATCATATTAGTTCTATGGACCTCCTTTCAATTCTATCCTTGTCTTAGTTGAAGAAGAACTACCAACACTAAGCTACAAACTAATTTGGCAGTCTCTTTGATGTAACATCATTACAATCTAATAGTAAATTAGATATTATTTATTAGTCAAGTGTCTAGGTGTTGGATCATGATATTTCAATGGTTGATTTTAGAAGAGTATCAATTTAGAGTTAATTTTAGATGAATATGCTTTAGATCATTTGATAACATTATCATTGGAAAATAATAGTAATCTTTACTTGTTGCTCTTTACTTGGATGTATCCAATTTTAAAATACAATGTCCTAAGGCTAAGTATTAATATTACATTTTTTTTTTTTTTTTTTTTTTTCTATCATGTATTGACAAAGAAGAACAATTCAAAGAAAAATATTGATTGTGTCAACTATAAATTCTTAAATATGGTCATTATTTTATTTTTGTATTAACTTAAAAAGCTACAAATGCATTTTGTTTTATTCATTAATCATGTTTCTACCTTATACTTGATTTAAGGCTATTAATAAAAACTATTTACTTATATTCAATCAAATAACAAGTATACATGTTTGTAACAAGAAACAAGAAAATAGATAATAAGATATTGAAGAAGGTGAAATGGTTTGGAATATGTGTAATTATGCAATGAGGAGATGTTAATAAATTATATTTAAATTGAATCAAATGAAATATTAAACTAAAATTGATTTGATCTTTGAAAAACCCAAAAATAAAAATAAAAAATATTCATAAATGATTGGTTTCAAAATATAAAATAGATTAATACCTAATTATAAATATAAAAAAAAAATTATTATAAGTATTTTATATAATTTGCACATTTAGCTTTAAATACAAGTGTTTATTTGTATACAATTTCTTTGTTAAATTTTAGTGTTAACAATATCATTTTTGATGATTATGTCTGTATATATATATATATATATACCAATGATTAGTATAGGAGCATTTTATGTTTTATTGGTACGAGCGTGCCACGTAGGACTAATTTAACGAGGTAGCGTTCACACTGGCAGAACGGGCTTCGTCGCCATGGGCTCAAATTCATCGCCGCTGGATGTCTCGACTCGCTTAGCGCCTCTGATTTCTTGTTTCCTCGCCTGCTCGCCGATTCATCTCTCTGCAGCGCCATCGCCCCCTGATTCCTCCTCCTCCTCCTCCACAGTCTCCTGCTTGTTGCCATTTGCACCTTGGAATCGGAAGTCGGATCGGGCGCCAACGCTTGTGCCGCACTTGCTCCTGCCACCATGGTCAGTTTTGCGCACTCGCGGGCCGTGATGTTTCATTCTTGTCGATTCTTGAGTGGATCTCACATTCGCAGAATTATTGGGAAGTTGTAGATCGCACAATGTGGGTTGATATTAAGCAGATTTGTGTGATGGGTATCTTCCTCTGAGGAGAATGGTTGAGGGCTTCGATTTATTGTTGTTTCTCTTAGCCCAGCCAGGCGCTTGCTGCTTGTTCTCAAATCGTGAATTAGAGCGAGTACACTGAGGATGAGTTGTGCGTATCAGCTGTGTTGGAAATCTCTACAATCGGAGTGTCGATGAATGGGGGTGGAGTGTCGCAGGCTACTGGATTAGTCTGTGTGAATGACTTCTCTGGGTTGTAGGATATTGACAGGGTTCACAAATCGGGGGGTGCATCTAGGGTTCATATGATCTGCCCTTGCGCCTTACCTTGTCTTGTTAGTTCTCCCAGGAAAATGAAGATCTGTTTGACGTTGAACAGCGTAATTTTTAATGACCTTGTTTATCGTAATCGTTACAGATATGGTCTAGGTCCTCGAAGGTCTTTACTCGCAATGTACGGGTCGTTCACATCGCCTTAAATTGTAGATGTCGATTCTGCTAATTTTAGCATCACACTAGATTGAGAACCACACACCCTGAGCTGTAGTGGGGTGCGGAGAGTGCGAGTTCTTAGTTGTAATATATTACGTTACAGGTGCCGAATAGGGAGCATCGGTGATTGAGCGTACTTTTAGCAGAATCAATGTGGTGTGAAATCGTTTTGATTCACTTTGTCTCTCCATGCTCTTCCTTTCAGTTACTTTTAATGAACTGAAGTCACCGTAATTAGTGCTGTTCGTGCAGCTTCCTCTTGTTCTACCAGTCAATTTAACTTCTAGGTTAAGAGCATTTGTCTCATTATTCGCATGTTTGACATGTTTTGCAGTGTAATTATTCTTCCAGAATAACTTGGACAATGTCTATCCTTTGTGGCTTACTTCACTGCACCTACCTAGATGCGGATACATGTGATGTAGTTTTTTTCTGACAGGTTCGAGTGTAGCGATTGGGTCGCTTATAAGTGTAACATGATTTAATGAATGCTTCTCACTTGAATATGTTGTTTTGCAGGCAGAAGAGCAGTATGCGCATCCTGGGATATGCCTGTTTACTGTTCTGTTCAAGGTAGGCAATGTCCCGGACCTTTTGTTCGGTTCTTTTTCTATTGACGGTCGATGCAGTCGACTGCACGGGAACTATGCAATGGTTTTGTAGGCTTTCCTAACATCTGCCTCTGTTTGCAATGCAGTTTTCAGCACTCGTGTTTTACATTCTGTGCTCCATATTTATTCAGAGCTTCGTGATTCAATTTGTCGTCACGGTTTTCTTGATAGCGTTGGATTTCTGGACTGTCAAGAATGTTAGTGGTCGAATATTGGTGGGACTGCGGTGGTGGAACGAAGTGGATGAGCAAGGTCAAAGTGTGTGGCACTTTGAGTCCCTGGACCAGCAGGTTGGCTGTTGTGCTTCTTTTGAGTTCACTATTTCCTCCGCAGGTGCCGCATATGTCCTGGTTGTTTTTGTGGGACGTATTTGATACTTCGAGTTTCCTGTCGAAACTACGTTATTACGCGATGCTGCGCCGAAATACACGAGCTTAGTGTTTTACACGCGCATGTGGGACTGGATTGTGTCTGTTCTGTGATTCTGAAATGCTAGTTTTAAGGAATTGAAGGAAAAGTTCAGCATTGTTTAAGATTGCCATCGACCGAGAGTTGCGAAATGTTGACTCGAGTGATTGTGGGTGCTGTCTGCAGACTTTAGAGACATTGAACAAGAAGGATGCTTGGCTGTTTTGGTGGACGTTGTATCTCACAGTGAGTTTCTTAAACCCCCTAAGTATATTATTCCATTTCTACACTTGACTTAGAAACCTGTTTTACCGGATGTAGACATGACAATAATCCGTGCTCTATTTGTTCAATCTAAGGTCAAATCCACATGTGCATTTGTGTATCAGAAGTACTTTGATGAAATTCTGTCAGTTCTAGGTGACCGTATTCTGATTCAAGTTAAGTGTGTGTTTCTTTGTTTTGCAGCCTATGGTGTGGGTGGCGCTTGGTATAGTTGCTGTGATCAAGTTCAACTTTGATTACTTACTTGTAGTTGGCGTTGCCATAATCCTGAATGCAGCCAACATAGTCGGATTCACTAAATGTCGAAAAGGTAATTTATCTCGCTTATCTCTTGTGGCAGTCAGTCCGTTGGAGATGGATGCTTTTGTGCTCTTTACGACTAGCTTGTTAGAGAGAAGCGGAACGGCGCCTAAAATCCCCCATTGTGCGTACTTCTCATTTGGTGGGGTGATCGTATTTATGTTTTCCTGCTTGGGTTCAGTATAGCCCATTCATGGTCCTGCCATCTCTCCTTGACCTAAGGCATTGTTCTTGAGCAGATGCGAAGAAACAGATCCAGCAATTTGCGGCCTCAACTTTGACCTCTCGAATGAGCAATACAATCCAATCAGCCTTCATGTCAAGCGTTTAGTTGTTTATGACTAAACCCGAAGTCCGTGCATGTGCGTTCCAGGGAAGATACTGCAGGCTCATTCAGTAGTTTAGTCCAGGAAGTAGATATTTCTTACTTGCCAGTTCACTTTAGGCCTTGCATTGAACTTTATGGACAGTATTAGTGGGCACAACTTTTCAAGTGGTTGGTGGTACGAAGTATGAAGAGTAGCTCAGTGGGGAACATCTGTAATGAAAACGTGAGAATTTGAGCGTATTTCAATACATTGGTAGGGTATTTGTACAAAAAACTTTCTGTATTGATAAGTTCAATTTGACGATCATAGGTGGTATACCTGCCGATCCCTAAATTATGACCATCTAACTTTTCTGGCAGCATTTAGCTGAGGAAGACAAGGAGTCATGTGAACAATGGGTTGCCGTTTGTAGTTACCCGTAGGGTATGTCGCAGAATCATTACTTCTGTCTAAATCTGAACGGTTCAAGCTTAGTTTCCTTTTCTCGTGCAGTCACTGCTGCACTCGTCTTGCTTTACAGACCTTTCGCCGCGGCATAATACTTTCGGGCCTCTACTCTTATTTTCATTGTGTTTGATCCCATTCCCAAGATATGCAAAGAATCCCCGAGAACTTATGGTTATCTCTATCAACATTACCCCAGTCCCAAGATGAACCTTGCATCTTCACATTCAAATCGGCTGATGCATGGGACGTGTTCAGTAATTGACCGGATTCAAAACAGTTGAAGGCTAATCACTCGCCGTGAATCATTGCACGTACCAAAATCATTTTGAAAGCACGTACGATTATGGAGCCACCAATCTTATTTCTATTCAGTGAACAAACAGAAAGTGGGCCAAGATATGTAATGAATTCTCAATTCAAACAAATATGTCATGGTCCTCAAGCAAATTTTCGGCCATGTCAATTTCAATCTTTAGCATCATGTGAGCACATCACAAGAAGAAACAATTTTCTTCAATTAACGCTTGACAGTTTATGCAGCTAATCCCAGCGGCAGATTCTTGCTGATATCCACATGAAATCTGCTGTCTTCGATCCAGCGTTGTCGAATAGCAGCTTTATCATCTTCTACAGTGCAAACCTCGCATAAAATCTTTCAAGCATCGATGCGGAAGCCTACGAACATCCTCCAGCAAGCACATGAGAACAAACCTTCTGCCAGGCTTGTGATCAAGCCAGGACAACACTGCTGTGGATGATTCAACCCCTTACTCAACCGTGCCACACCCTTCCTCTTTGATACACTTTTGAATGACCGCCTCCACTTTCCTGTGTTTCAAATCCAGATTTTGGAGGTAGCTTACAAATTCCTGTGGTCTGCGATTAGGATCGGGAATGAAAGCATGCGTACTGGAATCATCAGATTCCAACATTACCCTCTGTGGTCTCGTTTCAACTAAAGTTTCTTCGGTGCTGGTTGCAGTCTGCAGCTGTGAAACTTTCCCATCATTCTTTTGAATTTCTAGAAAAAGATCCATATTGTCTTCTGCTTGCACGGCCCCAGTTTGGCCTTCCTGGTTCCATTGCTGGTCGCCCTCACTTGTGTCCTCTGAGACTGTCTCAGACTCGACAGATTCTGCAGTCAAAGCTTCTAATTCCACAATCACAATGCTGAAATCAGTGGCATCTGTTGGTCCCACGATTTCAATTCCACTTGTGCCTTCTTGCTCAGGCTCCACTACTTCCACCACGTTTCCGACGACTGTGGAGTCTGCCGTGCTGTCCATCGTACCTTCCACTTGAACATTATCTTTTACCAACAATGAAGACATGACATTCAGATTTTTTTTTTTTTGTTTTGTTTTTTTGTATGCAAATCCGAATATCAAATGATTTCATGATAACAAATACTATGAAAGTCACTTCATGGATAAGTAGCTACTACACATAATCTGGTAAACGTCCATTACGTGGGGTAACTTCAACAATATCACAAAACTACAAAATGAACCTCAGTCGGTGACAAGAAAGAGATGTTGACATCGAGAGCAAGTGTAAGAAGCATTACCTTCGGAAACCATGTTCTTTACGAGTTTAAACCCCGGAAAGGCCTTGCGGCCGGGAAAAGAAACAGTGTACCCATGTGGAGAGATGGTGAAGTATGTCGCCCCTGTTAGCAACAATACAACTACGCTGACCAGGAGAACATGCTTCGCACCCATACCATTGCTCGTCATCGTGAAGGAATCAGCAGTATTAGACGCGCGATCGCAGATAGAATTCTACCCGGTCGGATGGCATGCAGCCACGAAGACAGTCTCTGCGACAGTTGAGGAGCAAGTCCAACCACAGACCCCAGAGTAAGTACAGGACGATGACACCATTGCATTGCAAACGACTCCGACAGTGCAAACATCATCTTCATTTCAAACGGTATGTAACCATCACTGGGGTTTTCAACCATCACATTCCACCAAAACAAAATTTGAAGTTCAATCCCCAAGAAGCGGGAGACTCCACCATTCATACCGACAGTAGCCATCCAGACTGCGATCGCAACATACCTACTAACCCTCCTGAAGCGCACCACGAGAGGACAAACAATGGCTAAAGTCCCATGTAAAGGAGCTCTGCAGAATATTGTGCAACAAGAACATCGCCTTCCATTGACAATTGTAGAAGCCATCGGGCTCGGCGGCGTCTGGTTGCACAGTTTAATGGCAAAACCCACAATTACTGCACAAGCTACAGTCGTCGCAAATCGCGAGGATTCGGGGCGGACATGTTCAATTCGAAACACATGGTGTTGTTATTAGGGTCAACCTGAAGCGATGAATGAACGTTAATTCCACGAAAGCTGTTGAACAGATGAAATCGGTGTTGGGGACTTGGGATGGAGCGTGTGGCTGGGCCTGGCTGGGGAACCTGCGGTGGTGACCCGTCTTCGGCGGCGGAGAGGAGAACAAATCCCTCAGCAGGGTACGCTATTACTCCTTTCCGCTTCCAGTCACCGTAGCGTTGCATTGCGTCGCAGTAGGAGCGCTCTAGTCGCGGCCACGATGGTACGATTTTGTTGCGTTTCTCCCTGGGATGTTATTTTTGTTGCCAATCGAGTTCCTTACTGGATCTTACACACCACTGGGTATTCTATTTGGGCCGAAACTGGCGAGACTAGGGTTAGGGTTTTGTAATTTTGAGGCAGATCTTTGTGTGTTTTCGTTATAGTAACTGTGAATGTATTTTAGTTGTTGATATCTGTCGTGTGCAGTGTTTTTTTAGGGTTTCGCATTGAGCTAGTGGTTGGATTGTTGGTGTTATCTGATAGGATTGAATGGCGGATGCGTGAGCCCTAGTTTATCTTGTCTGAGTGATTGTGCATGTTGAATTTGAGGTTTGGGGCTCGTAACTTTTGTTGATGGTATGGAATAGGTGAACGTTCCGAAGACGAAGAAGTCCTTCTGTCCGGGGAAGGCATGCAAGAAGCACACCCTTCACAAGGTGACTCAGTACAAGAAGGGGAAGGACAGCTTGTACGTCCAAGGTATGTACTGACAGTTACTCAGCTCATACAGGACCTAGCCAAGGAAATGTGTTTGTCTTGGTGTCTCCCTTACAAAATGAACCTTGTAAGAGTTTTTGAATTGCTATCACGATGGACATCGTAGCTTTTGTACGTCGATGCATGTTACAGTTGAATGGACTTTTACCTGAAAGATTTGCGCCGTGGCGAAGATTTTGCTGATATCGAAGTGACTATCCTGCCCTTAATTCAGACTTTTCTTGAACAGTCTAGACTTTAATACCTAAGTAATGTTACTAGTTGAGCAGCAATGCACACTACATCATTAATGATCAACCCTGCCCTGTATTCTGCCAGGAAAGAGGCGTTATGACAGGAAACAGTCCGGATATGGAGGTCAGACCAAGCCCGTCTTTCATAAAAAGGTTAGCTTAACTCTGTTGTATGTCTTGGATCAATATGTTGTGACTCCTTTCAGTGGCTGCCTAAATCTCATGCAGTTAAATACTTTAACTATTTAATTTAGTGATTGTATATGTTGCTTTTTGACTATGCTCACCAGAATCTTGTGCGTGCAGGCTAAGACCACGAAGAAGATTGTGCTTAGGTTGCAATGCCAGGCCTGCAAGCACGTGACACAACATCCTATCAAGGTAAGTAAGTTCTCGTCCTTTCGAGGGCTCGTCTGTTTCTGACGAGGATTACCTTGGAAGTCTTGGTCATCAGCTATCTCATATTTAATGAGTTATTTTCGTTTTTTTAAGTTTCTTTGAGTCATATTCTCCCCTTTCCTCCCCTCACTCTCCTTTTCTCTGGGGTGTTACGTCTCATTTCTCTCAAGCGGTTTCACAATGATCACCCCTCAATTTGAAGGGCCTAATACGTAGTATTAAATTCTGCAGCGATGCAAGCATTTCGAGATTGGAGGAGACAAGAAGGGCAAGGGTACTCAGCTCTTCTAGGCATCACGTCAGGTCCAACTAGAGTCTGGAGTGTTGATAACATGCATTGAATTTCAGTGCACTATGCAAATTTTGTAACACGTACCTGAGGTTCGCAGTTGTTTTTGGGTGTCCTTTGTTGATCCTTCTTTTTTTTACGGCACTTTCAATGCGTGTTACTCAACTGGTTTATTTCAATGTGTCAAATTATGAATTTTCTCAGTTTAGTCTAACACTTTATATTTGTGTATCAAGTTTCTTGTCTTGGTTTAAGGTAATGAGTCGGAATAGCCTGCAGTTGCGTAATGGCTAAATTATTGATTCTAACTCGAGTCTATAGGGGGCTGACCCCAAACCTAGCCGAAAAGAAGTAATTTTAGTTCCACATGCATGGCTTCGTAGTCCTTGGTGTGTCATCAACTCAACACAACCGCTTTTTTGTGACTGTTAGTCCTCTTCAGAACATCAATATCAAAACACTGAATTTAAGATCATGCGTGCGAATGTGAGTTTTCAAAATGAGTGTCTTCTTAGTGAATTCTTGTTAGTTCCTGGACCCAGAAAGGGAGGTTTGGTTTTTCAATCTAGTGCTGCAGTCAGTAAAATCCCTATATTCTGTGATATTTAGATTTACAAACAGAAAGATCATATTCTACTTCATTCAAGTACCAACTCATAAACATTGTTGTTTACATCGCATCGTCCGAAAATCAGGTACAGAGTAACAACACAATTACTCAGAAATGCTCTAGTACACGAATCAGACACGAACCACATACGACTCCGTCAGCTTCTTTAACGCACCAATAGCTAACACATAGAAAATAAATAGCTACAGCCTGTGCGCGTAGATTGACATTAATCTTGCATCAAATTACAATGAAATGCTTGCAAATACTAAATTCAACATAGGGTGTTTATGCATGGCTAGGCAATAGATTACTACGAAACATGTAATTTGCAGAAGATTTTTATATTCAGAATCAATTTTGAAAGGCCATGGTTTGAATGTAAAATAATTAAGATCGTACTTTACTTCATTTGGGAAAATAGAGTGGTCTATTAGAAGTCTAAGTTTTTGGATATAATTCAAATTGAGAGGAAGCTATGTTATGGGATAAATCATTTAATTTAGATTTCTTAATAATTGTGTTACATTACTAAATTTGGTAAATAATATCTTGATTTTACTAAATAAAAATAAGCATAAAAGGGACTTTTTCAATTGGCATCGGGTATCGAAAGCAAATTTTGGTATTACTTGTTTACTTTTTGTAACAACTATCTCTTTTGGGGTAGACCTAATATTAATTCTAAAGGGCAACACCATCCAAGAGCACGTCATCTCATTTTTTCTTCTCACGTCTCTTTGAGTAATTTTTCTGAATATAAAAACAACCAAAAGCGACTTCCCAATCGCAGGAAAACCCAAGTTTAGAAAGTTGCAACTTCCTACCTTCTCTCCCAAATATAAAGGCTGTTCTTAAAATTCATCATCAAGAATTAGTACAATAATAAAATACTTAACACAACAGTTTAATTTCTTATGTATTGCCAAATAGAGATCAAACCATGAAAAACAACATTTACTTGTAGTTGATGTACATCCAACTCCACAAACAAATCAATGGGGCATGCTCAATAGCTATACTTCAAAGATAAAGAAAACACACCACCCCAGAACACGAGACTAAAACTCCACAACTTGATATTTTTTTACCCCATAGCAACGAAAAGCTCCTCATTGAATATGAAAACCCATGCACAAACAAACCAAACACGTGGTCCGGAAAACGATTAGCAAAGCACAAACATGTTGACAATGAGATGGAGAAAAGGAGGGACACTAAAACTTCTTCCTACGAAAAGGTTGTCAGAGAAGTTGACGTATGAGGATATGAAGGTAGATATTTATATGTACATAGGTAACAGAATACAAAATGTACGTCTGTCTGAGTGGCAAAGCTTATCTACATAACACAAGCAAAACTACAAGTTGAGAACTTGATAGGGCAATTATCACAAGGAATCGCATCACATCTCGCGTCGTTTAGAAGAATTTTGCATTGAATCGTCGTCTTTGGAGCACAGTGGTGTGATCAACTTGACAGCGAATGACATTAGCAGTTTTGTGGCATCGTTCCGGATCGATGACGGCCTTCAGGAGCGGAGGAGGAGCACGGATTGTCGCAGAGTTGGTTCTTCTTTCGTGGATCTTTCTCACATATTCTTCTGGTGGAATCGTGTCAGCACAGGCCGCCCAGCCGGAGAAGTTTCCGTATTACAATCTCTGGGCGTCGCAGGATGGCGAAACCCACTTCGCCGCATGCAACATGCAGGGTTTCAACCTGACGCCATACGCTTCGTTGCCGCAGTACTTGCGGACGGACTTCGGCGGGGAACCGATCGAGATGGTGTTTACGGAGCTGCCCGTGGCATTAGACCAGCCACTGCACAGCCCTCCTCAGGTTCAATTTGTCATCACTCTCTCGGGATCCTGGTACGTGCCAACACCTGACGCCAATTCCTTCGTCGCTAGATATACTGAATGGGACTACGAAAGCAAAAGCGTTGTATTCGTGAGTATCTGAAATTGCTCTTACTTGCTCTTGTGGGTGGTTTTTCGATCGAATTCCACAGGTTTACGAAGACTAGCGACGGCACTCGGCATGAGTACGTCGCTGGAGACATCATGTTTCAAGACAACACAAAGAATTCCTCAGCTGACAAGCAGCCCCAGCACTACTCAGGCACCGTAGGAGACGTGCCTTGCCATCAGCTAGTCGTTCAAATCTCCAGGCCTCCTCAAGTGGACAGTCCATGCCCTTTTTAACGCAGATATCAAGAAGTATATCAATAACTTGATTATTTTTCAATAGATCGATTAAATGGAATCGAATGTTAATAAACGGGACTGGTATTTGCAATATTTTGGCTGAGCGTGAAGTACATGGATTGTAAACGGGTGAGAGAAAGAAATAAAATCCTCATATACTTTTCCTTCGAAGTCAAAGATGAGGCTAGGCGATAAAAACATCATATCCCTGTGTGTTGGCTTCGATGCAGGCCCCAGAGTATAAAACATCACAAGTTCAAAAGGATTTCAACTTTTATTAACATAAATCTTTAGTCAGCAACCAGCTCCAACTACTCCCGTCTTTTCTCGAATGCTCAGCAGAATTTCAAAGCTGCTTCTGCGTGAGGGCCTTGTGAAGTTCGCAAGCTATGACTAACTCCGCAGCGATGCTGGGCTCGTTCGCAGAGTGGCCGGCCGAAGTTACAAGCTGCATACAGGCAATTTTAGCAACATGAGAATCCTATGAATTGTTTGTAACCTCATACAGAATTAGGTCCGAAATTTACCAAAATATACCAATAAATTCTTTACAAGACAAACTAGTGGCAAAACAATCTGTTAGCTAACTTCAACATCAGTAGAAGAATGCGGTTCTCTATCACATACACTTAAGAATTTGCAGGGTAGGTGTTTACTCTGAAGTCTGCTTCAGGCCATGCCCTGTGTAGATCCCATGCCGATACCATGGGGCAAACCATATCATATCGCCCCTGTACATGCAGCTACTGATTAGGATTAAAATAAATAGAAAACTCGTAGAAGATTTCTAGGAGAGCAATATTTCGTGATAAAGATAAAATTGACATGCATGACCATCTGACGACAGATAACCAGGAGGGAGTCGTTGCTAACCTGAACAATTACAGCAGGAATGTGCCGAATCTTGTCGATGTTCTCTAAGAGGAAAGAATCGGTTCGGAAAAAACCCTTGTTCCGAAAGTAATGATTTTCAACTCGTGCAAAGGCCTGCAGCAAATCCCAAGTCAAAAGAAAAATTTGGTAAACGTTGTAGAATTCGCAGAGGGATATCACCGATAGTCACCACTTCATTCACAGCGCTTGATTATCAGGAAGATTACGGCAAGATTGGTATTGGGAAGTAATTTATTCACCCAATCGGTCAGGGACGAAAAGCAACTTCGAGGTGAAAAATGACGTACCAAGGCGAATTTCTCATTTTCACCACGTTTCAGAGATTCATCATTTGGCACTAAATATGAAGTTGCCATCTCCCAGTTAGTCCAGGCCTTCGCCGCTGCAAGCTGAGAAAACAAGACACATTCAGTGTATGTAATTGTAACTCAATTCCAATCACTTTTGAATTTTTGAATTTTGAATTTTTTCAAACAAAGGTCTAGATATCTCATTGAAACCAATGAAAAAAATAATCATGTGGAATGACGATCCAAAAGTTTGTACGACTGGGGATACCTGAACTGATTCATCTGGGCTATTTAGACGCTTACTGTAGGCTTCTAAGAAGTCGCCGCGTTCTTCTACTGGAATATGGCCACGATATGGCTCCCAAGCTGCATGCCCCCTTGCAAGAAGGAGTTTCATTGCATGTGATCAGAAAACTATCACTATCGCAAATTAAATAAGATTAGAAGAAGAAAAAAGAAAAAAGAAAAAAGAAACAGCAGTACCTAAGATGTACATCGAAAATAGTGGCAAGACAAATTCACATTCAAGAGAAGTTGCAGAGACGAACATTATCTACACTGCAAGATTGAAGGAGGAAGTAAAAGGATCTTTTCCCCACCATCAGGATAGATTGCAGCTGCGCCTCCCTGATAGAACCAGTCGATCTCCTTTTTCCTCAACAAGAATATCCCTCGCATGATGACCCCAGTTACCTGAGTACCAATGTGTTCGTGAAGCCGCACCATGGACTTTTAAATCATTAGAATTATTGATATTGGCAGCAAGAAAGACTTCAACAAGACCTGATGACAGGAATTCATACAACATTCATATATGGTACATGCAAAGGTGAGACCTAAGCTGCACAGAGGAGGCATATATGGTAAGTAAATGAAAGGATGAAGGCAACCCACTCTCTCTGGATACGATTGTGTGTATGTCAAAGCCAGCGTGCTTCCCCACGACCCCCCGAAGACCTGTAAATGCTCATCATGTGGAAAATAATTTCAATAGCCGGAAGTATCTTGTAGGGTTCCATATTTGAGGCTTGAAGATACTTCCGCATATGGACAAAGAGCCAGAGTGAACGAAAATGAGCTTACCAACCAGGAAGGCTACTCACCTGCCATTTCTCAATCTTCAGATGCCCCCGAAGTTTCTCGATGTCACTAACCAGGGCCCATGTTGTATTGTCCTCCAAGCACGCATGTGGAGTGCTCTTGCCTGCCCCTCTCTGTTAACCAAATCGCACCATTTATACCAGTCCTCAACATTGATTACTTGGTTCTTACTCCAATGAGAGTTTGTAATACACATTAAAGGTATAGCAGACAGGAGAACACCCTACCTGGTCAAACAAAATGATGCGGTAGAATTCTGGGTCAAAAAATCGCCGGTTGCCACCACTTGTGCCACTTCCGGGTCCGCCATGCAGGAATAAGATCGGCTGCAGAATACAGTACCCTCAAATCAATACTTCATGAAACCATAATAGAGAAAGCATAATCATTTAACTACAGCATTTCCACACTTGGAAAGTTGTAAATTAGAGAACATGGACACCAGAGGCATGTAGCGAGTTCAGATTGTACCCACCTGCCCCTCTGGATTACCACTTTCTTCCCAGTAGAGCGAATGAATATCTGACACTTGAAGAAAACCAGTGCGGTTGGGTTCAATAGGAGGATAAATCTCTGAACGGGCAGAAGAATTCTTCACACCGAGCTTCGCGAATCGAGCCGCCAAGTCACCGGTGACATCTTGATTTTCTTTAAGAGGCCTCATGTTCATAGACTCTGGGAAATATATGACACACAGATTAGCCCAGCTACAGTTAATTCAAACTAAGTGCTCATGAAGACTTTACGTGGCG